GTTAACACAGTTTATCAACTGCTGACTACATTAGATGATAAGAAGTCAGCTGTTTTGGACAATATACCAAACAAATTCCTAAAGATAGCTGCAAGTGTTATTGCACCCTCGTTAACAGGAATATTCACTGCATCTATTAATACCGGAATATTCCCGTATGAATGGAAGGCAAGCAGAGTAACGCCAGTATTTAAGAGTGGCACAAGAACTAACCCAGGCAACTATCGGCCTATATCAATTATTCCATGTGTTGCTAAAATTTTTGAAAAAATCATTTTCGATCAACTACATGGGTATCTTGATTCAAATAATTTGCTGAACACATGCCAATCTGGATTTCGACCGTTCCACAGTACCCTAACAGCGTTGCTAGAAGCCACAAGCGACTGGTCCATGAATATTGACAATGGCCTAATTAACGGAGTTGTATTTATTGATTTAAAGAAAGCTTTTGATACGATCGATCATCAAATTATCCTACAAAAGCTTAAAAATTATGGTATAGACGAAAACAGTCTTACTTGGTTTCGTTCATACCTCACTGATAGAACTCAAAAGTGCCGGGTAAACGGTCAACTGTCAGATTCTGTGCCAGTGGCCTGCGGTGTACCTCAAGGTAGCAGCCTAGGGCCGTTGCTATTCCTCATCTACATTAATGATTTACCGAACTGTCTTGATCATACAACTGCAAGAATGTTCGCAGATGATACAAGTATTAGTTATGCATCCGACTCTGCCAAAGAGCTCCAAAATGTCATTAACATCGAATTGAAAGGTCTAAGCGATTGGCTAACCACTAATAAACTAAGCTTAAATATTGTAAAAACAGAATTCATGGTAGTTGGATCTAGACAGAGAATAAAAACACTAAATAATGAAATAGATATTGAGATAAACGGTAATATGATCAACCAAGTTACTTCGGTAAAATCTCTGGGTGTCCATCTTGATAATCACCTTATGTGGTCTGAGCATACTGACAAACTATGTAAAAAAATTGCTTCAGCCATAGGGGCTTTAAAACGTATAAGATCCTGCATTTCAACGAACACGGCTATCCAAGTATACCAAGCACTGATTCAACCTCATTTTGACTACTGCTGCTCGGTCTGGGATGGTCTTGGCGAAACGCTAAGTTCTAAACTACAAAAATTACAGAACCGGGCGGTCAGGGTCATTACGAGGTCCAGCTATGACACTAATGCTACTGTGCTTCTTGATACTTTACACTTGGATAACTTATCGTTGAGACGCAAAAAACTTAAAGCTGGCTTGATGTTCAAAACACTCAAAGGTGACACACCTACCTATCTACAAAATCTTTTTTCAGTTCGTGGCTCAGAATATAATCTTAGGAACTTTGAAATGAAATTAAATCTACCCAAGCCACGAACTAATTATCTGAAGCGAAGCTTTCAGTACAGTGGAGCAGTGCTGTGGAATAGCCTTCCCGAAAATATAAGAATGCTCCAATCGTTTGCTCAGTTCCGGAAAGCTGTAAACAAGTATTATAATAGTTTAGATGAACTCCCACACGGCAATCTTGTAAACCAGTAGATCATATTCCTTTATTTATTTTTGCATGCTTAAACTTGTATATATTTATATACTGAAGATTCCACCGTGGATAAATAAATTTTTATTGTATTGTATTGTATTGTATTGTATTGTATTGTATTGTATTGTATTGTATTGTATTACCAAGTAAATATTCACTGGTCGTACGTTGTCTTCCGCCAGTACAGCCATGGTATATACCAATGCCTGCAGAAACTAACAACATTAAACCAAATACGACATAATCCACAGGATGAAACGTTCTCTCCGGCTCTGCCATTTTTGGTACTCAACTGCGTGGCCTTTGTATATCCAAGCTGATTAGCGTCTTATATATGTAGTCAGTAATACGAGACAAGCAAATATTGACTGATGAATAGGATTGCTATGCCGACAGCAAATATTAAATGTTTGAAGTAATGTGACACCATTGTTTCGCTTTTTATTTCATGACTATTTTGCGATGCTGATCCATGTACTGGCACGCACGCATGCTATACAAGCAGGGCGCTTCCAAGAGGAAAGAAGGAATATAGAACCTATTCTTTGTCGTCGCATAGATAGTTCTCTAAAATATTAGTGAAGCGATGCGCTCTTTTCAATTCCAAGTTAACTGAACAAAATTGTAATCCATGCATGCATGTATAATAATTTCTAACAAGCTTTCGTTACAGCAACTAAGTCAACTATTAATGACAAGGAGAAATTCGACGTTTCGAGCGAAGGCCCTTAATTCGTCGGGAAGTTTAATTATAGTAAACGAGGGCCTTCGCTCGAAACGTCGAATTTCTCCTTGAATTTTTCAGGTTGTTGCATCCCTACCAAGTACCAACGAGGCAACGAAAGCTTGTTATTATTGGCGGCTATCTACACTGGCATCGACCGTTCAAAATTATAATAATTTGTGTTCGGTAATAAAAACCATTGAAGGGTGCTTAATTATTGGATATATAACAATACAATACAATACAATACAATGCAATAAAATTTAATTATCCACGGTGGAATCTTCAGTATATAAATATATACAAGTTTAAGCATGCAAAAATAAATAAAAGAATATGATCTACTGGTTTACAAGATTGCCGTGTGGGAGTTCATCTAAACTATTATAATACTTGTTTACAGCTTTCCGGAACTGAGCAAACGATTGGAGCATTCTTATATTTTCGGGAAGGCTATTCCACAGCACTACTCCACTGTACTGAAAGCTTCGCTTCAGATAATTAGTTCGTGGCTTGGGTAGATTTCATTTCATTTCAAAGTTCCTAAGATTATATTCTGAGCCACGAACTGAAAAAAGATTTTGTAGATAGGCAGGTGTGTCACCTTTGAGTGTTTTGAACATCAAGCCAGCTTTAAGTTTTTTGCGTCTCAACGATAAGTTATCCAAGTGTAAAGTATCAAGAAGCACAGTAGCATTAGTGTCATAGCTGGACCTCGTAATGACCCTGACCGCCCGGTTCTGTAATTGTTGTAGTTTAGAACTTAGCGTTTCGCCAAGACCATCCCAGACCGAGCAGCAGTAGTCAAAATGAGGTTGAATCAGTGCTTGGTATATACTTGGATAGCCGTGTTCGTTGAAATGCAGGATCTTTTACGTTTTAAAGCCCGTATGGCTGAAGCAATTTTTTTACATAGTTTATCAGTATGCTCAGACCACATAAGGTGATTATCAAGATGGACACCCAGAGATTTTACCGAAGTAACTGCAGGTTGACCATATTACCGTTTATCTCAATATCTATTTCATTATTTAGTGTTTTTATTCTCTGTCTAGATCCAACTACCATGAATTCTGTTATTACAATATTTAAGCTTAGTTCATTAGTGGTTAGCCAATCGCTTAGACCTTTCAATTCGGTGTTAATGACATTTTGGAGCTCTTTGGCTGAGTCGGACGCATAACTAATACTTGTATCATCTGCGAACATTCTTGCAGTTGTATGATCAAGACAGTTCGGTAAATCATTAATGTAGATGAGGAATAGCAACGGCCCTAGGCTGCTACCTTGAGGTACACCGCAGGCCACTGGCACAGAATCTGACAGTTGATCGTTTACCCGGCACTTTTGAGTTCTATCAGTGAGGTATGAATGAAACCAAGTAAGACTGTTTTCGTCAATACCATAATTTTTGTTGCATGCCATATATGGCATGCAACTTTCATATAGCTCTAAATTTCGTGTCGTGGTGAGCGGTGGTGAGCGGTGAGCGTACCAGTCACGTGGCAGGTTCGTAAAATACGACAAATACCGAGTTTTTCCGACGAGCATTTTCATGCCTGGTTTTCGTCGAGGAAACGCAAAGAGTTGA